TCAGCTTCATTATCCAAGTGCTTGGGGTACAGTGCAGAGGGGCTGAATTCCCAGGTCACCCTATGAATGGCCAGTCTCTAAAATAAGAAGGGATCAGAGCAGGAAACACAACACCTGGCAGTGGGAACTATCACCTCATTTCCTCCTTTTCAACCTCAGATGGATGCATCTTTCTCCTGTTCTCTGTGCTTCCCTGTCCTCCCCATGCAGACTGTGGGAGAGAGACAAAGTTTATAAGTGGGAGGAGAAACAAACCTACCCCTCTGAAGTCTCATTTCAGGCTTAAGGAACTAAGGAAAAGGGCCCGAATAAACACTTTCAGCCACTAGATGTGGTGATACACATGAGAGGATATTTTTGGGGTTTGTGGGGGGTAGACCACTGAGTGTAGCCCTGTTTCTATAGGAAGGCCCCACAAAGTCACTGCTGTTCAGTTATATGTTTGAGCAGGAGTGGGGAAAATAGGTCAGGGGAGTTCAATTTTAGTTTTATAATAATCGGTTTTAATGCCAAAGATGTCCAAAACAGGGTGGCTCTCTCATGTGAAGTTTGAAATTATATGGAAGTCTCAGTGAACTCTTCTGACTGGGGTAGGGTGGCAATAATGTGGAAGAGACAGGAACAATTGCCTTTGATTGCAATGGTGGCCAAAAGTCCCTAACAACATGCTGATCAAAGGAGCTCATTGTTGTTTGGTCAGAAAGATGTTTTCAGGCTCCTCTGCTGACAGAGCATCTTGCTCTGATAATCCAATTTGGTGAGCTTCTCGTCTTCATGTAGAGGGCCTAAGGCAGGGGTTCAGGTCCTGGAGCTGGAGTGGACTTGAGAGATGACCTCTTGGGTTTTATTGTTTTTGTTTCTTTTGAGTTGGAGTCTCACTCTATTACCCAGGCTGGAGGGCAGTGGCATGCTCCCGGCCACCAGATCCTCGACCTACTGGGCTCAGGCGAGCCTTCCTCCTCAGTCCTCCAAATAGCTGGAACTACAGGCATGCACCACAATGCCTGGTTAATTTTTTTTTTTTTTTTTTTTTTTTTTTTAGTTGGAGTCTCACTCTGTCGCCCAGACTGGAGTGCAATGGCCGCTCCCGGCCACCGCAGCCTTGACCTGCTGGGCTCCGGCTATCCTTCCACCTCAGCCTTCCAAGTAGCTGGAACTAAGGCGAGTGCTACCATGCCCAGCTAATTTGTTGATTTATTGTAGAGATGAGGTCTCACCAATTGTCCAGGTGGGTCTTGAACCCCGCAGGCTCAGGCAATCCACTCACCTCAGTCTCCCAAGTTGCAGGATTACAGGCTGAGCCACCGAGTCCGGCTCCCTCTTGGTTTTTTTTTTTTTTTTTTTGAGTTAGAGTCTCACTCTGTCAGTGCACTGGCCGTCCCGGCCACGCAACAAAAGAAAGTAAGCCCAGAGTCACCTATCTGCTTAGCAACAAAGTGAGGACAAGTAGAATCCAAGTTACCAGTAGAGGGTTCTTTCCACTGGAGCGCAAAGTTAAACCCTGCTCCAGCAGGAAGGTTTGGGCCACGCTGCTTACCTTTTTCCTTGGGTTATAAAAGAATGGTTTTGGGTCTGTATCTTGGTGACCTAAATCCTTAAACTGGAAACACAGGCTTACGGATGGGAGGAGGAATAATCCTCTTCCTCCCGTGTCTCTTTTCAGAGATTACGGGCCTGAGGAAAATGCCAAACTAGATGCTCACGAGGTCTCTTTAAGGCAGAAACCGGGTTCCTTGGCTCAAGGACTGCTCCCGTGTATGTACTGCATCAGAGCCTACAAGGTGGATCTCACTCCCACATGGACTAGGTCATTCACATGGGCACTATCCTTTCTTAGATGCTTTTGTCTGATAAACTTTGAACCTGTCTCTCTGTTTCCAGAACAGAGTCCATAACTGTTCTAAGAAGAAGAAGCAAATCAAACAGCCTGGAATTCAAAGCCTTCTCCAGCAGAGTCAAGAGACCAATAAAGAAAGGGAGTCCCTCTGCCTGTGGCATTGTGCACACTCACAGGGTCCCACATTCTTACTTGTTCCTACAGAGTAAAATGAGGCTAGAAATACCCGCCCAATAATGCCTTTCTTTTTCCTTGCCGTGTGTATGTGTGAATGTGTGTGTGTGTGTGCGTGCACACACACAGAGAGATGGCCAGTCTGGGAGAAGATAATTCCTTTGTGGATGTTGGTAGGTGTGGACAGTGGGGGGTGGGTTAAAAGGTGGGTAAATTTCTCCCATGCTGGGAAGTACAAGCTGCAGATTTCAAGCTAAGGATGTAAAGAAGAAACTTTCAGTTATATTTTCATCAGAAAAAAGTCAAGACTTATTTCAGAGCCAAGTCCTGAAATATGCCTTACCCTTATTTAACCTGCTGAGTGATAGGGGATTGCCCAGAAGCTACAATTGGAACTAACTAACTGCACTCAGGAGGTAACAGAGACATTATATTCTGTGTTTGAGGCATCAACATCTACTGACTAGGGCAAGATATAATTCTGAAGCTGCCAAAATGAGGGCAGCTCCCACCACCCTGGGCCCCACCCCAGAAGCTCCAGTGAAACCTTTCCTGCTTCCCAATGGTCAGGCTATTTTCTCCTTTTAAGACTTTATTTTTATCTCAGGAGCCACTCATCTGACTGTTCTCATGACCCAAGGGGCTGTCTGGATTCTCTTGCTCTAGGCTGTTAGTAGAGATGGCTGAAGTCCTCTGCAAACCACAAAGTGAGATTCACTGACCTACTGGCGGTCGGTGAGGAGGTGAGGGATTACCAGCTGGGCATTTCATATGCCCCTAGCAAACAAGACACTCTGTTTTCAGATTGTCTGATTAGGCCTTGTCCTCACAATCCGAGTTGTCTTAAGTAGAAATATTCTAGGTAGTCAGACAACTGTTTTCATGCTTCCTAAGGATATGTACATATATCTTCACCCAGGCAAAGAGAAGACTTGTCAGTAAGGGGAGATGGACAGGCTTCAATGGTCATCTGGTTGGCCATGATGACGGAAGACCCCGAGCTGACATGTGAGTATGTCAGAAACATATCGTGCATCATTGGTGCTCTGGGGGCTCAGGCTGTGGGGACAGGCACAGCGGGAGCCACCAGACATGAAAGTGAGGGTCAGTAAGTCACAACAGCAGGCAGTTTTGCTTGTGAAAGAAGGGAAGGAGATGAAAGAAGGTGTGCAAAAAGAAAAAAATCTTCCCGGAAACAGTGAGTCAATTCTTGACCTTGGAGGGGGGAATGGGACACATTATTCCATTAACATATCTAAAGGCCCACGTTCCACGACACATTCCACTGTCCCGGGCCAGTCACGATTTTTTAAAAGCATAGACGTCCAGTGAAAATGCAAAGTGAGAACCCGCAACTCTAGCAGACAAGGAGTAAGAAGGTAAGGGGGCCGGGGCTGTAGGCGTCTGAAGGCTGTCTTCGCGTTGGGGAGCAGGCAGCCCTTCCCAGACTGCAGCTCCCCGGGACGTCTGTCCAGGTCTCCTCCGTGGCGGGCTTCCTCAGTCTCTCACGCAGTGAGCCTCTGCCTGCCCAGCCTCGCTCCCCGGCTCCCTGCACCTCCCACCCTGCAGTGCCCCAGACAGCACTTCCCTGGCCATCCTAAGTTTCTTCTCCACCACGTTTCTCCCCTCCTGCTCACTGCCCCGCAGACCTTCTCCCCCAGGCAGGCCACGTCTCTCTCTCCAGCTTTCTCGACCCGGCCCCGGGGCCCTCGCTTCTCGTCCGGGCGCCCTCTCTGCGGCTCCTTTCTCCCCTCGGCCCTCTGTTCCTCCCAGCCGGACCCCATGGAGGAGCCCCGCGCACGTCAGCTCCTGCCCGTCCCCAGCCCTCTGCCTTGATCGTCTCCCGCCTTTTTAGGACCCCCAGATCCCTGCTACCTCCCTCTCAACGCTGGGGCCTCGGGCCAAACGCCCCCGGGCCAACTTCCGCCCCTCGAGT